AGGAGAGTTAATCATAGACAAAATTGGCCGCAAAGGTATGTCCTTCTTATGTTTTTTGGGCAGACCATATAGTCTGGGGATGTGTGTTCCTTTAGGCTTTAAAGATAGTGCAGTTGCCTTTACGCTTCCTTGGACTTCATATATTCAGTTCCCTGATTACTCGCACCAATAGCATGCTTCCCGGTTAACTTTTTGTCACTATAGCGTTAACTTTGCGCTTATATTTCCTCTTCCCATACCCATACAAGATGAGAAAGATGGTATTTTTAGAAAACTGTCAGACTACCCGTTGGGGAAGTACTAAGTGGTTAAGACAATGTGAAAAGCCTTGCTCGAATGAAATGACTCAGTAAATATTAGAAGTCACTTCTTTGGGGGTTGTTAGAGTTGGCAGCAGCTAGCCAGCAGAAAGCATGCTATTGCATGTTTACTTCTGCACTGACGAAAAAATAGTTTGCTTACCGGAGCGGTCAATGAGAAAAATGACCTCATTGCGTGTGTCAGTGCCCTCCTTAAACATTGGCAAGAAGTTCACAGTCAGACAGTCGAGGGCGAGAATTCCGCTGTTAACCCTAGAATCACCTTCCTCGTATATAACCATTAATTTGGTCGGATCGCCAAACACAATCTCCATTTCAAGATCGTGGTCAAACTTGAAGTCACTTTGTAATGTCACCTGGAAATATAATTAACCATTAATTCAAGGTCTCCAGGTCTTAAATCATAAGTTGTCTACATAATTGTTCCAAGCCAAATACTGGTAAATGTGCTAAGGTCACATTAGAAATATAAATTCAATAATTGTCAATATAAACACATATTCCTATTCTCTTCCCTTTAAATCACAGGACTTTCACAAGACTAGTAAAGTCATATAAATATTGTTGGACTTCGAAGGCATTATAATTACCATTGCCGCCTTTTTGTCTTTTCTCTGGTACTTCAATCCAAAGACGTCTTTCACAGAAGTCACCGCACTTATTGCACATTGAGAACTCAGACTTGCTGAGAAAGAAAATTTGTAGGGTACCTTTACTTTGCACACTTGATCTGCATTTGAAGGGCCAAACTGCCGTTCGGATTTAGAAGCTAGGACAAATGAAAACAAGAGAGGCTCAGCGAAGACTAATTTACAAAGCCAAATCTACGAACCCAAATGTAAGATTCCACCAGAGATTTGCACCTCCGTGCGGTGAACTATAATGAAACACACAACCCTTAGGCCATCCATTATTTTGTTCAAATTTCATTAGAATAATTGAGGAAGTCTACAGCGAATTATGGTTATTTTATAACCAACACTCAAAAGGATTTTGTTGGACATAGCTTACAACAAACAACATAGCCTACGGAAAGGAGGCCCTCTTACATGGTGGCATATAGCGTGGATTGAGGACAGAAGGTAACGTGAAAATGGCCATGGCGCGGTCACCAGAGTCGTCTGTAACGTTATGCGCTCGAAGTCGGCAGAAGTAGCACATTTTTATAACTGCCGTCTCCGTCGGAGGAATATTTCCGACTTTAATCGCAAAGGTGTCACCCATGAGTTCGTCTTCTTCCATGTAGAAAGCACTATGACCGGCATCCACAGCTTCCTGGTACGTGTTCATAGCCTACAGAAAAACAGCATTACTGGTTTCAGCAGGTGTTCAGCAAAATTCGTCTGATAAAATTTAAGTAGGTCGTGCCCACCTTAGATACTCCTAGCCTGCAGACCTGTGCTTTCTTTTATTTTGTTCAATTAATTTTATTTTAGATTTTTTTTAGTTTTTTATTTAGTTAGAGACCACCAAATTTATATAAATATACTAAAGTAACTACTATATGCTGCAGTAAACCAAACTAACTAGAATAAAAACTATAATAAAATGAAGCTTATAAATAATAAACAAAAAAGTAAACTAATACTACCGGTCCTGCAAGATAGTACCTGGTGCTAAGGATATATAACGTGCATGATCAACCTAACTTTTACTAATTCTTTGTATTTCATCCATTAGTAGGCGCAGAGGAGATTGCCTACCGATTGGGGTCAGTGAATCAGCCGATCAACACTTTCTGTTCCGAGATCAATAGGTTAGAGTTTATTCCTATCGGGGGCTGAGGCAGAGGGTGGATGGGAGGGGGTAGGGAAGACGTTCGACAATTATTTGATGCCTCTGTGTCGTCGTTATAAAGCGACGTGGTAGGATTTGTGACTTTGTCTTCGGCCAGGGGGCCAAAACGTGTTTATAGGGTGAATATGGCAAACCCAGGGTTAAACTTCACCTCCCCATCTCGACGTCCTTCTTAAAAGAAAATATCATGGAAAATTTGTGGAAGTAGAAAAGACAGCGCATACCACAAATATCTGCCCTTTTGTCCCGCTAAGTCAGACGCAAAGCCTAGCCTGAGTACACCAACCAAGCGAGAAGAGTATATATTCCAGCTACGCTGGAGAACGTACTCGCTCTTTTAAGTCAGTGGCTTTTCAGATAAATTAATCGGTAAATTAGATATACAAACTCCCCCCAAAAATTGAACGCGCCAACAGCTGAGAAGGAGTTATTTCTCCTCTTCCTTCTATATGGAGGGGTTCAGGTTAGCGAACATCTACATCCTTGCATAAAGGCTCTCTTTAAGCGAACATACCCAGTGGCTAATGTAACCCACGTGTTCTGAAACAATTCCCTTCTTCGCCTTCGCAGCAAGTAAAAGCTATGCTTTCAGACCTTCTCAATGCGCATTTACACCTTCAGTTGCTCTTGTGTGATTAATAATAGTTTTCTGACAAATATTCGCCTCACTTATATGACCTCTCGTTTATCATATTTCACCCATTACGGATTCCAGTAATTGATGCAAAAAGCTTACCTCACCCCGTTCTCGACACGTTGCCACAAGAAGCTTTTTACCGATCTCTGCTTCAAAATGGTAAATAGCGGAGTCCGCGTCCATCGGGAAGACGAACAGTGTCTCAACCAAATCTTTGGATTCATTTTTGTAGATGAGATTGCAGGTAACATTAGCAACCAGGTTACGCACCTCGGCGTGAACGGATATCTCTTTTAGAGGGACATCTTTCAAGGCAATGCCTTTCCTGTCGCACAATCCAGCGTTGTAACAATTTAGATGATCCATATATCACAAAGTTTCGTATGAGCACTAACTGGGTCAAACTCTTCGCAACGCTGTTATATACATGCCTGCAAGGGCGCCCACGTCAAAAATGACTACGGCTCTGAAGTGGCTTTGGCACCTTGCAGCTGCCTCTGACCAGCCAATCACGGCCCCGCTAAACGCCGTGATCCTCCACTCACGTAAGAGTTCATTAACTGCACGCGCGCTTACGTTGAATGTACGCGTGGTGTATGAAGCATACATGTCTGCTGGTCTGAACGCAGCGGAGCTGGGCTGAATAAGTCTGCCAATTTAGCGCTTTAGCACTTTTCTTTCTGTGTATAGCGATAAGGTCACATTGAAGGCTTGCAAGTGCTTATTTCGTGTTCGTGCCTTCTATTGCCATTGAACGAGCGTCGGTCAATTGGAAGTATTTTCCTTAGCAGATTTAATTAACTGCACTTCAATTGGTATAGCATATACTGATCGGAATCACGCAGTTCTATGCGTATTCCGCTATTAAATAAAGAGAATTATTTAAATTTCCCAAGCTATTCTCAAAAAAGCTTATTTGCCATCAAGACAAGCTCTGATGTCGTCAGGGTCTCAAAAATTTATTTGCTCGAAAAAACATAAACTCAGATTTCCACTGCTTGTTGACAACAACGCAGGTTTGGGCCCCAGTAGTGATTTCAAATCAGCCTCAAGTCTGACGAATTGTTGCCTCAGGGATACTACCAGTGCTTCTAAGACTCACATTCATCGAATGTCAGTAGCAGTAGAAATAATAGTAACCGTATCAGTCTTGGCCTCCTTGGCGCCTAATCCAGGCATGGTTGACTGAGGATGGGTAGTAAGTCCAAAATGTTAAAAACAGCGTATCTAGTCCTTTTTGGCAATGTCCTATCCTTAAACGCATGAATAAGTGCTTATACAGTAAAGATTTAAGGTAATTTCGTAAAGGGGAGGGTTCAACTTCTACGAGTATGCCCGGTTTAACTAATCCGTCCTGCTCAAAACCAAATGGCACAAGCAATATACCATGGGCAGACTCATTCAGTGGCGAAACAGTATGAAAATGCATCGCCCTCTGGCTTATGGCGTTTAAACTAGGGCAAAATGAACGCGTAAATCAAAATCCTGAGCCTGCTAGCAGGGTCTAGTAAACAACATCGAAAACTCTCCAACGGTGGCACCTCTATGGTCGCCTCGCAAACACACACTTGCAAGCTTTCGGCCGTTAGGGTAGAAGGGTGTGTAGGAGGATGCGTGAGTGGGTTCAAAAATGTATGTCAATAACTAAAAAGCGTACAAATCATGATATTGGTGGCTTATTTCCAAAATTTTTGGGGAATTTAATGTTAATATTAAGATAAACCTAAGTATAAAGCCAAATGTGGGGTTAGGAGAGACCTCAGCGCGTTTTAGGGGCTAGCATTATCATTTCAGTCTTAACGCACAAGGTTGCTTTGAAGTGAGGCCTGATCGCCTATCCCTTTTAAAGTCAAATTAACTTTTTTATGGTGGATTCCATACGCACAGTGGTTTTGGGTGTAAGTCAGTCCAAGTGTGATTTAATTCAAAGCTACGGTGTGACTTTATAGGTCAATGTTGGCTGCGCAAAAGTCATCGATGCTGCTCTAACCTTGTGTAAGTCCTTGGCACTCGTAATATCCCCCAGAAGTATGTTGGGAAGGAAAGGCAAGAAAGGATGTTAGAGAATTGCGGTTTGAATTTCTCGTCCTCCGTGGGAAATATTATTTTCGGGATTT